TCTCCAAACACCTCCCGCTCTCTGCTCGTGTGCTCTGCTTCATTATTTCCAAGCCCTCCAGGCGTGAATTTGGCTCACAGCAACCTCTTTATTTGAATAAAATCGATCTACTCTTGATTACACCGCTGAAAATTGTGTCGCATGACGGCGTCACACCCTCAATTTGTTCTAACAAGCAATAAGATGAGGATACAACACAAAACCCCAACTCCGGGTGCCTAAATGCAAATGAATGTACAATCGCATGACGCAGACCACAAACATAAACACAGACGCAGAAAGAAAAGGCATACACTGATGCGGAAAGATGTGGGCAGATAAACACATGAAACACTAAAAGCTCAATAACAACACACACAGCGAAAAGCACTTCAAGCACAGAATCATTAGACAGCCCGCAGATGTAGAGGGAGAGGGAATGTTTAATATCTTTGGGCTTCAAAACACAGCGCATGCTGCATTGTTAAAAATATGATTGCTTTATTCATGACATCGGTATGTGTTTTCTATCACGTCTATCCGCAAGACAAGACATTTGAGCCAATACTTTTTCACACTAGGGCTGGACTCGAATATTCGATAGTTTGGGCACACATTCGATTTTCAATTTTGAGATTCAATTATTGAGGGTTTTTTCCCCCCCACACACCTGACCTCCGCTGACAGCAGTGAATATAACACTTCAATTCACATCAAAGCGAAAAACAAAATGAAGCCCTCAGCTGTGTGGGAGCAGGCTACTTTAAACTGAGTGATGACAGCAGTAGTGTGGAAGTTATTGCATTGATTAATTTTTCAATTGTTTAATTTCATTACAGATCAATACAGTGAAATTATTAATCAGTGAATTGTAGGCTGGAAACCAACAAACAACAACATAATGAACACATTTAAATAAATATATTAGGCCGATTGTAGAAGAACAGCATTTGGTCACTATAATAAAAGTTAAAAGTGAATTTTGCATAATAACGTGTTATTTATTTCTGCTACTGGAAATACCGCGCATCCCGTCTGCACTCCCTGGACCCCCGCCCTGCTAAACTATTCCCGGAATCTGCTCTGGACCTGTTCGGATCAGACCCTCTCACTCTGTTCCCCTTGCTCTGTACAGCAGCCACCAACAAGTTTAAGGATGAGATTCCTGTTCCAGTTCAATCTAAGGTCCTTATAACGATAAAGGTAAAATAGTTTGTGTGTCCCATCTAGTATGTTTTGTAGGTAAGTTACCCTATCTTTCAAGCCTGGAATTTACAGTCCTTGCTGGAATACATTATGACTTTATTTTAAAAGCATTTCAAGGTTTGTTCGTCATAAAACCACTAGTAACACAAAAAAAACAGGTATTTTAAATTAAATTGGAATTTAAAAATAATCTTTTTACCCCTTCTGTAATTAAACGATTTCTTAAAAAGGAAATTGAATGTATTATCAACAATTCATTTGTGTTGTCTCCACATTTTTCTCTTCATTTTCTATTACTGGGAGATTTTCTACTGCTCAACACAAGAGGATTTTTTTTGCAGTAGAAAATAACTTTTGTGAGCATCTGTCTAAAAATCAGTTTAAACTGATCCACTATTCAGTGGGGAAAAAATAAAACAGAAACTATATAAGCCCAGTGATTTCTATCTTCAACCATTTACAGTCCTTGAAGTAAAGTTTGGGAGTGCAATGGGAATTGACAGGGAAAACACAGAGCAAAGAAAGCCGATATACTTTAAACCTTTCGGTACCCAGTTAGGCACCTTCTCCAGTAACATACTTTCAATGTGTCAGTCTCTTTTTCTTGTACTCAATCTGTCCGTCTGTCTTGCTCTTTTTCCACCCTACCCCACACGGTTATTAGCTCTTTCTATTTCTCTTTATCCATATAGCGTCATATTTGTTAAGTATTGATAAGTACTAAAAAACTACAATAAATCAAGTAAAAGAGGGCTTGGACGTGTAAAAATGAAGCTCAGCATTCAACCAGGAAGACTATCTTTGAGCGTCACTCAATTCACAACCATTTCTCTCTCTCATACGCACTCTCTCGCCCCGCCTCTAACAGCCGACTATGGGCGTCCTCCTTTAGTTTTCCAATCAGATCTAACCACCATCAGCTCAGCCAATCATGAAGTCACTATCAATCTTTAAATCCGTTCTCTCCTCTGCTGCCAGCTGTCATTTCAGTTCAAATCGCTGCGGCCCTCCTCCACCCCACTCACCTCCTGCTCATCAGATCCCGGCCCAGTTCAAGCTCAGCAGAAGTCCTCCTCATTCCATCCAGATCCTCAGTATCTCCTTCATCACCACCACCACCAGTGTCTAGACTCAATCAGGGGGATTCTATGCCTCTGCAGCTTCACCACCCCATTTAAATACCTCACATGTCAATAAATTCTTTACTCAGTCAAGTCTCTCCTGACTGAAATGGATTGAGGTCTTTGTCCGTGTCCGTGTGTGTGTGTGTGTTCACTCATTTTCCTGTAGGGTATACAGAACTGTCTCTTCTCCACCTATCTCCTCTCCTTTGTTACCACAAGCTCTAGCTGAACCTGCAGCTCGTCTGTCTGTACATGTTGGTGTATGCCTGTCTTCTCTGTGGGAGGGCGTTTGTGTGCGCAAGTGTGAGTGTGACAGTGTTTTTATGTGTTTTTTTTCCCCTTCAGGTGACAAAGAAAAAATTGCTTGAAAGAGGAACAGAGCTGATAAATCAAGGAGAAATTATAGAAAAGAGAAGAGAGTTGCATGTGGCGAGGGTAGAGAGACGAGAGGCTGCATTGAGCAACAGTGAGTGGGTTGCGTTCACAAAAGAAAAGTTTGAAGAGGATTTTAAAAAAGTGACACTGAGGAATACCAAGGTTTTCAACTTGGAAACAACGGCAGGTAATTAAATTATGGTTGCAGTGATGATAACGGTAAGGACGCAATCAAAATCTTATAACAAACTGTAACTATAAAGCCTTTGACATTGTCTCAGGTGTATATTATGGGCACACTGCTTATGATTTAGCTAGAGAGGAACTGAGAGAAACCACAGGCAGCAAAAGAGGGGGAGGGAGTGTCAGAAAAAAAAGAGATGATGAAAGGTGTAAAATGAGAGGGAAAAGGAGAGGTGATGAGCGGAGGGCATTTTAATCATTGTAAGGTGAAGGAAAGTAAGGGGAACAACGAAGAGGAGAGATATATTATTCATAATTAGCCGCCTTGGTACATTATTTAACAAACACAACCTCAGTGGAAAGGTGCTATGTGCAGCCACCCGTTTGCTACTAATGGGAGTCTGGAACAACTGCGTTTCTAGTAGTTTATATACCACAAACACACGCCACACGAACATGAACTGTCAGACAAACCCCCACACATTGCATTCTGCGTATAACAAAGCAAGTCTCCTCACACGGTGATAGCTCTGCAGGACTTCAAACACCCTTGATCATTCTTTCACGATATCCGCCTCCTTCAGTACAGGGGGTTGCAGTTATCCTGTGCCATTCTCAAGGCATCAATATTTACAGCCATATAAAATTTTGTTCACAGCTCTCACAGGGGCGGGGGGAAGGCCCTGGGCATACTTGGCTCTGGACAAAACACAACTTTGAACAGTAGAAAAAGAAATTAGACGGTGTAGTTGTTACAAGCCCTACCCCTGTAACCACATGTACCCACTGGCCAAGGATTGATTCCCCTCTGCTGTGTCTCCTCTACTCATCAGCACTACTTTCTCAATAAAGAAATAACACCAAGGAGTGTGGACAGCCCATGCTTCTTTTAAAGAGAATAATCCTGAGGGTGTCTTTTTGTGAGGGATTTTATTTTTACCTTGGCATGAAACTAAAAGAGGTGAAAAGATTAGATGTTGATGCTGGAGAGGTACTCGGATTTTAGTGGATTTGTCTAGCAGACCATTCTTTCAGGGTTGTCAAGAGGGGCGCTCTTTTGTCGAGAGGGAGACCTGCTGTTGTTGTGCTGCTCTTGAAATGGTGGGTACAGTAGTCATTCAAACAATTTTTAACAAAGACAGTGCGTTTGTGTGTGTTGCAACCTAGTTGGCTGATGATTCATTGTTTTTTTTAACTGATATTTGCTTCTGTACAGGTTGTCTGGTAGCACTTCACAATACAGCTCTGTGATAACAAGATAACAATTGGGGGAATGTTGTAGTAACTTTAAAGAGAAGAACCATATAATAGCAGAACCACCTGTTTGTTCTTACTTAAATGGCTAAACACTAGATTACTTTTAACCAAATGGCCAGAGTCATAACCTGGGAACACAATGGTACATGTAAAAACAAATGCTATAATCTGAGACCCAAAATATCCACATTGCGCATTTTGTTTAGAGATGAGTCTGTTACTCATTCGAGTGTAGGAAAATTACTATTTCTTCTCCAGTCCCTGATGCAAGAAACATTGTAGCCAGATAAGACTCTTATTAGGGCATAGCTTACAGTCATACCACCAGAGGGAATACAGTAAGGGTTATCACAGTGCAAACCTGCCTCTACATAAAGAAGTGTACTCTCTCCCCCTTGCTTAAACTGTTGTGGTAAATGTTGCTGTCGAGTACCAATAAATCCAAAATGTAATACTATACCTCATTTTTGCTTTTGTTGTGTCCATAGTAGGGCTGAAACGATTCATCGATTACTAAAACGCATCGACCCAAATTCTTTGCATCAATATTTTGTTTAATTCATTTAACTATATAGCACACTGTTTCTGTGTGCTGATTATGATGGCGCTGTTTGCAAAGTAGAGGAAGAGTGAGAAAATAGCGAGGGATGAAGAAGAAAGTGTCCAAAGAGCAGGATTATTTCAAGATAAAAGAAAACCACAACTCTGTAATGTTACAGTCTGCCAAGCTTGGCCATCGCCAAGCAAAACTACTTAAACGATGCATCGATGAAATGATCTGTAGAAGCTTCGAGTTCTAAACTCATTGTTGCTACAGCTCTAGAACTCAGTGTACAGTATGTTATGCATTAAGCATGAAACAAAGACAACTGGATCAGGGCGCATTACATTATGCAAGAAAAGAGATACATTTAATATCAAGCCCTGGTAATATAGGGCCCACATACAAAATACATTGATGTTCTATTGGAGAAAAAGTAATACTCATAACAGTAATATAACAGGAATAACAGTGACCTCAGATACTGCAGCACTGTTGCAGATACTGCTGTACATTGCCACGTACCTTCTGCATTTACTGTACATACTGTAGTGTTGGCACACTGTTGGCTTCAGCATTGTATTTCATTTATCACTACTGTACAGTACTCTTTTAGACATACCCTCTTGGGTATTCTCTAAATACATCCAAGTACACTACAATCACAAGCATTTGTGTTGTATTATGTAGCTCCTGTGATCTGTTCTTTAGCAGCATAATTTATGTTTAACATGTTTTGGTGCGGAATCAAGAGCAGCAATTCCCACTGTGGCACCAGGCAAAACAACAACTTGTAGCTGTTTCTGGTGTGACAAAAAGCGACAGTTCTGTACTGGCATCAGAGGTGGAAGAAGTACTCAGTTGGTTCTCATTGCCAGAGGGTGTCAAATACTGTAGCTACACCTTGTCACGTCCTTCGGCATCTGGTACAAATGCACTTGGCACCCTTTAGTGTCATAGTTCAACACACTGGGGGAAGCCTTTCAGGGTCATTGTTCAACATTAACAGTGAAGTGCATGTAAGGACGTGGTTGGGGTGGACTGGTGGGTCAGAAACAGGGCTTTCAACCAGGAGATCTGTGTTTGTTTCCTGTGTGAAACAAAAAGTTGACATTTATTATTTTTAGTAATTTACGTAAGTAACGTTACTTAACTTGCGTAAATTAAGTCACATAGGTTATGCAGTCATTTTAACCCAAACCCTGATCTTTTCCTAAACAAGTAGTTATGGTGCCTAAACTTAACCAAACTGTGACATTTCACAACATCAATCTAACCGGAACTAGCTAACTTCAATCCCTCAACAGAAAAACAATAAAATAAACCTCCATTCAAAAGCATTAGCAGTAAAATGTGTATCAAAATTAATAAATGGTCACTGTCAGATGGATCCTCACTATGAGAATGTAATTCTCTACACTGGTTAGATGTTTTTAGAATTCCTGACAGATGAAATTCGCAGATACAATATTTTTACCTGCCAAAACAGCAATAATTTCTGAGCCAATCATTTAAAATTCTGCAAAGTGACTTTTAAATATAGTGGAGTTAATGGCCAACATTTCTTTCTGGAATATACTTGCCTTCTAGCTGTAACAAAAATACATTTTACAGAAATAAATATTTTACAAAAAAAAAAAGGTAGATTTAGCATGCGAGACCACAGTACAAAGAACCCGTTGTGGATGATGGAGTAAGATGACATTTTCCTGGGCATTTTACTCAGCAGAAGAATATTAAGGCCAGACAAAAATATTTAATTCAACCTTTTCAACGTGTAATTAAATCACATTATGTCTGTGAAGGTAATGTGATTTGTTACACTGTTGAATGATTACACTTTACGTGACATTTATTAACAATCAGAAATTTGGATTGTCATGCATTTATGTGGCTCGTGTGTCTTTCTCTGATTTGTGCAAAAGCACCAAAGAGGGGTAGAAATGTTGGTATATTTATATTTTGACAAAAATCATGGTTATATTATAGTGAAGGGCTGCAATTATGTAAAACAAGCAGTGTAATTAATTGGTTGCTCAGAAATGTCCTAAAACACGTGCTGTATTTTGCTGTAATGCTCCAGCCATACATGGTGGTTGATTACATTTGCAGTAACAATCTGGAGAAGCAGTTGCAGGGGTACGGAGTGTAACATATACACATACACACACACACACACACACACACACACACATTTTGACTGATACTCAGTACAGTCAGTGTGGTGGCCACTAAACAGATGTACCGGACGACTTAGAGGTTAAGTGCCTTGCTCGAGAGCACTATGAGAGTTGTTGCTGGAAAAGGGAAGTGCACTTCACGCCCACTGTAGCATTTCCTTGTCAGGCCATCATATCATCTTACTTTGATTATGGTGTTTTTCTAAGTGATTATGGACAGAAGCGCCAGATTAAGTATAAGTCTGAAATGCTGAATGCAACTACAGCAGCATGCTGATGCTCTTAGAAGTTCTTGTCGATACGCTGCCATCAGTCATAGACTGTACAATTAGTGTGATTAAGTGATTTCAACTCTTTCACGTGGCTGTCAAACAGCAAACGGGAGAGATTACAGCTTTAAGGAAATCAAGAAAAAGACAAAAAGATAAGGAAATAAACAGGAAGCCAAGAACGTAGGAAGCAGAGAGAAAGGTCAAGGAAAGACTGAAGACAGAGGACAAGGGAAAGACATGTGTACTGTGTATAGACAGATTTATGTATTTTGTTTACTCCTTTCCAGATACATCCCATGCACCAGCTAAGGAGTTTCCAGGGCAGAGTGGGCAGTGACCTTCTGTGCTACAGCTGTTACACGACATATAAGGTTACTTCAAAAATCCGACATAGACCAAGTTACACACTCAGCCACTATTGTTAAACTCTGTTTCATCTTTTTCAGGTGCGTGGACCCCAAGATTAGCATAAAGTTAAAAAAGGTACAAAGGAGGCAGCTCCCTGCTGTTAATGCATATAAATAAACTGTACATCCAACAGGCCCTCATTTACGTAAAATGCTTACATGGTGTAAAGCCTTCTGTGTAGACCACATCTACACAGAAGGCGTAGGAGAAGCAGCAGGTTAGCAGAGCAGCAGCAGCTTTAGTCCTCCATCTGTCAACACAGGATGCGTTCAAGCACAGTATTGTAGTGTAGGTCACTCGCGTTGTAGCAGCGCTCGGAGCCCAACAGGCAATCATTTTAGTTACAGGTAAAACTGAAGACAACAGATTTGAAGAGTAAAAACACATTCAGTGCACATCGTTAAGACTATCATGCTTACGTTGGCTGACACACTAAGTATAGCTGAGGCTCATTTAACAGAAACTTTGGCCTGATGATGGGGCTAGGTGAAAGGTCAGGGGATTTTACAGATCATCCTCTGAGAGCCATGAACATCAGTACACATTTTCATGGCAGTCCATCAAATTGATGCCAAGAGATTTCAGTCTGCCTGCCACTAACACAGCTAAATATAAGGTGAATGCATTTCTGTAGACGAGTAGACGAAGGTCACATTGATCTCAAGTATTACAGGTTATCACTCCGTTTGTTGGTCAATAAAAGTCACCATTCTTGTTTACTACCAAATTCCATTTTTACAAAACGGATACATTTACCACTATCCATCTATAGATGATACTTCATTTACTTCTAAATACTAATAGATAATCTCAGCAGCTACAAACTGCACAGAATAACATAAATACACAATGTACACTGATGTCTTAGACCAAAGTAAACCATAATATGTTAAAATTTAACATCACATGTTGAGCACATATTAAGCTAACTGGTACAATCTCATTGAGGTTTTCTGGTGAGGAACCCACAGTCATTCTATTTTCACTCGTGTGTGTCTTCATGAGGGAATAATGCCCTGAATCTCACATGCAAAAACAAGCTTACATGCACAACAAGCATGCACAGAGGTAAATAAGACACGCACACACTCTCTCTTTTAGGATGGTTTCACAGGATCACCCATTACCACCCTTTGAAGTGTGTGAGTTGCTAATGGTTTTGGATCCCATTCAAGGAGAGTCTGTGGCCTGTCTGTCCATTAGCTGGCTGACACACTCTGCTGACTAAACACAACACTTCCAGTGCCCTTGTCCTCTGTTACTCTCCCCATGCCTCCCTTCTTCTGGGAGATGAAAGTAGCTCACCGAGTGTGTGTGTCTCTGCGTCTCTGTGTGTTTTTTGTGTGTGTGTACGTCTGCATCCAAAGAGTACAGGTGTAAGTGCGATTACTTGATTTTGTTAGAGCAATCCAGAAGACCGAAAGAGAAGAGGAGCAGGGTGCGCAGAGGACACAATTAAATTATTGATATCTAAATAATTATCCCGTTTAACACTTTTGGTTTGGTTAAACTGCTGGATGAGTACAGACTTTGAAATGACAGACTGAATAAAAACCTTTTGTAGTTAATTTGTGTGTTTGGTCTGATGTAAGCCGTTTAATGGATGCTTTTATCCAAAGTATCTTGCAGTACGACAAAACATACAGTGCACTTTTTTCAAATCATTAATTGCCATCCATCCATCCATCGTCAACCGCTCATCCTGCGTACAGGGTCGCGGGGTCATTGATTGCCAACTGACAAATTTTATATAAAACTAAAGCCCAATAAATGTGACGGCTATCAACTTTTCAACTGGCAAGTTTCACTCCTTGAAATTGGTAATTTTTTACAGTCTCTTGCTAAAGAGCATCTAAAGGTTATGGGAGGACTGATTCTTTAAAGTAACTACTTTCAAATCTGTTATATTAGAATGAGTGGTCCAATTAATCCAAATTTATGGTTGGAACTTGGCAATTGGAGTTTCTTTTCTGTTCCAACTAACGTACTGGTCAGTCTAATCTCACATTCTCACATTTGATAACAGAGTTTTTTTGTGCAAAACACTAAATATAAACTGACATATTTATATATACTGATGATAGGTAATTACTTACCAGTGTTTCCCCAAATATAGACTTAACTTAGGCAGGCAGGTATATTAATGGCCACCCAGGTATGTTTAACGGCCCATTTTAGCATTTTGCAGAAAAACACAGAGAGAGTTGTTATCTATTACATTACAAGACGCAGACACGGTGGATCTTTTACCAGCACGGTCCAGGTAAAACAACAAAGAACACACCACTGCAGATGTCATTTGTTAGCTCCCACATTAGTTTTGTTGTGATAGGCTAAGTCATTAACAAGCCTCCTCCACATACGGCGCACCTGCTGCTGAGAAGTGAATCGCAGCTGGAAAAATCCAGAAGACAAGTTCTGTGTCTTTATACTGCTGTTGGAGAAAGTCTGCAGAGCAGACACATACACAGAGAGAGAGACAAGAAGAGGTGGGGCACGCGCTGTGTCTGCAGCAGAGGTGTGGGTGTTTGCATGTGTGTGGGGAAAAAGAGAACTGAAGGGAAAGGGAGCAGATTATTAATTAGTGAGTAAACACTTAAATAAGGTGGAGAATGAAGTAGAATTAAAAAGGTGAGATAAGAAATAAGCTACTAGAAACAAACTGGGCTGGAAAAACTTGCCATGAACAGGGTGTTATTATATAGCCAACAAAAATGAATAAATAAGTTTTAAACTTTTGTGAGCTGATGAAAGAATAAAGAACTTCGCACATTAAAATATATTATACAAACAATGATAAAATATGATGACAGTCCAAGCATACTTAAAACCCCCAAGATTACTAAATGATTTCTGCAGAACAGCTGATGGGATGAACACCATAAGAGGGAGGGAGCTATTCTAAACACAAACAAAAAAGAAAGAAACAAAGTGATTAACAACAAAAACACAAAATAAAGTTTTACCACACTGGCCTCTGCCACTGACCGGACGATAAAGACTTGGCTACACACCTGGATGCACAGACTAAACAAGCTTCATATCCCGCCAAAGAATCAGACCCCACACTGAGCTTTCAGGGCAGCACTTTGCACCGCGTCCTTCAAAGAATGCCAAAGAACGTTTGCCTCTGCTCTGCTCTCACAGTCAATCGATAACACACTTTTCTGCCTCTTTAGTAAAAAAGCGAAGAAGACTTCTGGTGCTGTGCATGTGGGTGTATATGTGTA